AGGCAATACTGAAAACAGACATTCACATTGCTCGTGCTGTACAGGGAGCTGCAATAGCAAATTCACACATATGGGCGTTCACTCCTAGCAATCCACAACCACCAGTTCTCTGAACACCAGAAAAAGAAGCATGTACATGAACAGTGTTAGGTAGGAAAAACTCACATCACACCATAAAAGATCTATTTTGTAAAATGGTAGGAAGCCCAGTATTAAATACATCAATAATTCTCAAAATGTGTTCCAGAAACCTCTGGGGTCAGCAAGAAGTCTTATAACGGTGGAGATGGAGAAGCTACCCTCAAAGATGCCTTGCCTGACTGTTAACCTTCCTTTGAAATTTGCAGTTTCAGAGGAGCTTTATGCTGCACTCTAGGGTACGCTAATTTCACATGAAGCGACAACAGCGACAGTGTACAGGCCTGATCCATAGCACTCTGAGTGTATACCGCAGGATCATGGTCTTCAACTTTTCTAAACCTAAGAGCTACCTTTAGTTCTTGATGACTCTGCAAGCATGTGACATGGTCATGTGATGGGAAGAGGGAGGGCCACTGAGACCTTGACTGGCTGGGGTCAAGGCACCACAATTAGAAGCACAGGTTGCAGACCAAGAGATCCAGAGACAGAAAATACAAGCTGAGTATCACGAAGTATACCATGAGTAAAGAACAAAGAATCACAATGGAAAGGTCCTCTTTGTCTGTCCCATCAATCAAAGAAAGCTCATCTGGTGAGTATATGAGAGAGGGCCTTTTCAGTGGCAGCCCCGTGATTATGGAATCACCTCCCCAGGGAAGTGCACCTGGCCTCCTCCATTCCTGATCCTTAGGAGGCAGCTGAAGAGTTTTATTCATAAGGTATTTGATCAGTTCTTCTTCCTACTGGCAGTTTTAAATTGCTGATTTTAATTAGTGGTTGTAATGTATTTTATGGTAAATAAATAAATAAAATGGAGGTGGCCTCGCCCCCTCACATCCTGCTGCTCCTGCTTTCTGTGTGTGCCCAGAAAGGCAGGAAGTGTGATGATCTTGCTCTCCACGCATGTGTACTTGGCAGCATATCTTTCCATAAAGAAAGGGAGGGGGGAAGGCAGAACAACAGTGTCTTATGGCCCAGCATGGACTCTGTGACCCACAGGCTGAAGACTCTGTGACCCACAGACCTAGAACACTTCCTGGAACCATCTGTAAACACAGGGGCTCTACTGCAGAAATACAGGGATTTCTCAGCAGATGCTGTACTTTCAAACCTAGAAAGTTTGCAAGTCATTGTACTATGTCTATAAATATCACCTTGTTTCTTATTCGCACAACAAAAAAATTCTCTGCACAAACAAAAAACCAGCACACCAAGGAGGAGGCTAGGCTAAACCTGTATCTGCACGTTAGACTTTTATCTCACCCAGGTCTAATAAATCAAGTCTTCATGCAAAATAATTTCAACAAAGTACTTTGCCACATTAGGCACCGTCCATAAGCACATTGAGTCAAATGATTTATATCCTAGTTTCGAAGCATACATTAGCTCACACAATTCACATCATTGTGTGCTTCAGCAAAGGAACCCTGGCATTACACTACACATCTTTGGATATATTCCACGTATACAGATTTCCACTTCCCATGGTGGCCACCTGTACATTCACACCACGTGATGAATGCAAACAGTGTATAGAAGGCCACGTTAGTGTACATCTTCATTCAAATGCACCTTTGGCGTACAACCTCTGACAAAAAAAAAAGCAGCATTACCCAAAGGCCAAGAAATGAAGTTGGGCCACACCTGCAATGTTGGAAAAACCCATTCCTATCAGTTGTTTCGGACTTCCATGACGGTGGCAGCACTTTTCAGACTCCACAGTCACACTGATTGCTGCTTACTGTATTCTCAGATTGCCCAGCACATACATTATACTCGACCAAGTGGTCCATATCTGAGCGTGGGAGGAGCTAATCTCTTGGACAAAAGAGGAGCCATGTGTGAACAGCATTTCTTAATGTATCTTACTTGACATATCCTGATAGACAGCCAAGACACACATACTGTCATGTCTAATATTTACTTTGGATTTTTCAGCTAGGTTCACACTCTCAATATAGTCTGGTCTCGCACCTAATACTAAATAGATGTAAACAATATTCCAAACAAACATGCATTCTGCTTTCTTCGGAACATCTGTTAACATTTGAGCTCCTATACTCCTTTTCCCATAGCTTGCTTCTTCCAACTACAGCTACAGTTGTTAAATTATCTATTGGAGAGGGGACAACAGTATTCTACTCCTTCCCTTATTGGGCAACGTAGATGAGCTCTACTTAAAGGCCATGGGTATAATACACTGACGCTTTCATTATACACAAGGAAATAAAGAGTTTGCAATCCAGGAGCCAGTCAGTCAGCTGTAATTACACTATTGTCTCACACTATCATCTCAGCAATTAAAGAACACACACATTCATCAAAAGTCTTTTCAATAAAAGTGATTCACGTGTTTAGCTGAAAATCAGTGAAAGAGGAGACTGAATGATTTATTTGTACAATGAGTTAACAAGCTCCTTGACAAGGAGCTTTTTCCTAGCCACAGGTGATGGGAGGGCCAAAGGACCATTCCCATATGCTAAGTTGAACTAAGTGCAAAACAAAGTCTGAGGCCAGTGGCACCTTTAAGACTAACAAAGTTCTATTCAAGGGACAAGCTTTCGTGTCCATCCACACTTCTTCAGATACTGTATCTGAAGCAACAGAACAAAGTTAGAGTCCAGTGGCACCTTTAAGACCAACAAAGTTATATTCAAGGTATAAGATTTCGAGTGCACGCACACTTCTTCAGATACAATGAAATGGAAGTTACCAGTCCATACATATAGGTAGAGGGTGAACAGTAAATTAGCATACAACATAATGAAGATGTTTAACAGATTCAAGGGCCAAACAGGAATAACAAGTTTAGTGTATATGGTTATCATTTGTTTGGGCTTAATTCCAGAGAAAAACATAGTTTAGGAAATAAATATATCAAAATTGGAGTTTGATGGGCTGATGCACTCTTCTCCTGTTTGGTCCTTGGTCTTAAAGGTACCACTGAACTCAAACTTTGTTTTGCTGCTTCAGACCAACATGGCTACCCACCTGAATCTAGTAAGTGATAAGGCACATTCAAAACATTTCATCACTTAAACTCAAGACATTTTAACACTATAATGAAAAGGGTGCATATGTTTCATCTGTATATTTGTTAGAAGAAAGAATCCATTGTTTGATATTTCTATAAAGCATTGCTAATATTAATTGCAACTCAAACAGCTGCACCAATTCGAAAGAGAGGTTAAGAAGAAGAAGAAGAGAAGAAGAGATTGGATTTATACCCCGCCCTTCACTTGGAGTCTCAGAGCGGCTTACAAACTCCTTTCCCTTCCCCACAACAGACACCCTGTGAGGTGGGTGGGGCTGAGAGAACTCTGACACAAACTGCTCTTTTTCAAGGACAGCTGTGCTGGAGCTTGTGACTGACCCAAGGTCACATCAGCAGGTGCAAGTGGAGGAGTGGGGAATCAAACCCGGTTAGAGTCCGCACACTTAACCACTACACCAAACTGGCTCTCTTAAACAGCTACCATATGAGAAAGTACATTTTGCCACTGTGTCTGACAAGAAGCAACAACTGATCTCAGCTCCCTGGGGCCTGCAAAGTGGGAATGTGCTGCATACCCACATACATAGGTCAAAAAGTAATGTGTTAAGTACAACAAATTGTAAAGGTCATGGATAGCAGGCTTGGCCAAAGGAGACCCAGATTGTGGTCATACAGCTGATTTCAGTGGAGATTTATTTGCAAGTAAGTTTGCTTGTAACTCAGATAATGATGTTCTCAGCCTACAGATATTGTGAGAAGGAATTACAAAGCAAATTGCAGACTAAATAAGGAGTCAACACTGTGGAAAAGGAAGACAAATATTAAATGACAGTAGTTATACATGCATCACAGGATGTTTTTAGACATAGATTTGTTGTACATTTTTAAAGCTTATCCTTCATCACTTAGTATATTTCTACACATGTTCCGGACAAAAACAATGGGCTTTCTCTTTATGGACAATGTTTCTAGAGCAATGTTTCTCCAAGCATGCACATGCACACCACTCTACAGAAAACAAGCAATTTTAAAAAGCATTGAACAAAAGCATCTTTCAGTATCATCACGAGACTCCTCCTGAAACCTTCCTGAAACAGCAAGGCCTGTTCAAAATGGATGAACATCTTACTGTCTTAACCTACAGCTAGTCGTAGTAGTAGTACATACACAATCTAGTTCGGGCGGAAAATGCAGCACACGATGACGATTCATTCCAACGACTGTTTGGGTTTGCGAGGACCACAGCAGCTAGCAGACCATCCAACCCTCCAAAAAACCCAAACCCCATAAGAGTCAGCTTGATACCCCTTCCCAGGCTCCTCCGACCTCGCTAAAAGCCGAGGGTTGCTCCTGTCCCTGAAAAACGGATGCCCTCAAGTTTCTGCATCGCACAAAAAAAAACAGCGCCTCGACAACACCGCGAGCAGAAAAGCCACCCTGTCAGAGACTCCCTCTTCTGTTGTCATCCGCGGCACCCGCGTTTCCAGCAAAGGCCGTCCTGATGACACCGCAGCACCTGGATCGCCCCTTTCCCCCACACGCACAGAAATGGAGCCACCCGGACCCGAGGGAACCGAAGACGTGCCGTCGCCGCCGTCCCCAGCCTCCCGCGGGGACAGCTCCAGGCTAAACAGGAAAGGCCGCCTCTCCTGTCAGTCCCAGCCCAGGGTGGGAGACCTCTGCCGGTCACCTGCCCTCTCCCCCCGCCCCGGCCGCCGCTCGGGGTTCGCCTGCGGGTCTGCATACCGCAGAGAGCCGACACTTCCCCCGCCGCGGGCGGCAAGCCGGAGGGTTGCCTGGGACCCAGCGAGAGGGGGGGAGGAGGAGGAGGGGGGAGAGCCCTTTTGCAAGCGAGCTGGCTTACCTCGCGGCGGCTGTGGGGTCCAGGTGAGCCCCGCTCTGCTTCACCGAGCCCTGCAGACCATGCCGGGCAGAGGCCGACCTGCCCTCCCGCCTTCGGCCCGGGGAGCCACTGCAGCCCCTCCCTCCCGCTGCGGCTGCTGCTCCTGCTGCTCCCCACACCCCAAAGCAGCTCCCACAGCCGCCGCAGCCCCGGCACCCGAACGCGCAGCCACTCCGCCGGCTATGACGCCACAAACCGCTCCGGCTCCTCCTCCGGCTCCCGCGCTTCGGCGGCTCGGCCCCCTGCAGGACAGCTGCCGCCACTGCAGGCCCCTCCCCAGCCCCAATCGCGCCGATGGGACTTCGAGGGAAAGGTGCGTCCACGGGCCAGATGCAGAAGGGCGCGGCTCAGCCCTCCAAATGGGGACCATATATATCCAAGTTTGTTCCTGTTTGGTCCTTGAATCTGTTCAACATCTTCATTGTGCTGTATACTAACTTAGTGCTCACCTATAGGTATAGAATGGGAACTTCCATTTCGTTGTATCTGAAGAAGTAAGGGCGCGGCTCAGCCCTCCAAATGGGGACCATATATATCCAAGTTTGTTGTTCCTGTTTGGTCCTTGAATCTGTTCAACATCTTCATTGTGCTGTATGCTAATTTAGTGCTCACCCTCTACCTATAGGTATAGAATGGGAAATTCCATTTCGTTGTATCTGAAGAAGTGTGCTTGGACAGGAACGCTTATATACCTTGAATACAACCTTGTTGGTCTTAAAGGTGTCACTGGACTCGGACTTCATTCTGCTGCTTCAGACCAACACGGCTACCCACCTGAACAATAGTATCCCTATCGTCTTTCTTGCGCATCTTCCCTTAGATAGGGTGGGGAAATGATTTGTCACACTATACCTCACTTATTCAGGGTGGGCTCTGAATTCACAAGGAGTTCCTCAGCTCTGTTATTTCCTTGCACACATAGTTGCAAGCATTTTTATCACTTCTTCCCCATCCTCTAGTTAGAAGGGCATTGAAAAATAGAAATCAAGTTTCAGATAAGAACTCTTCTTCACAAACGCAGTACTGTTAACACATGTCACACTTGGCCTTCTCTTGGGATGAGTTAGCTTCTCCTTTACACCTAGGTGGGCGCAGGCAGATGATTTGGTGATTCTTTTTGTACTTACCTGTGAGTCTATGTTAAGGCCCGGAAAGAAACTGAAAGCCTTCTTCAGATTAAAAGATTGACAGTGAAATCCTAAACACAAGTACAGTCTAAAGCCATTGAAGTCAATGTACTTAGAAGGGTGTAACTTAGCTTTAAAAAGTTTCCAGCACTGATGCCATGAAACAGTAATACCTCATACTCCATTAAAAACAAACAAGCAGAAATTCTTAACACGGATGTTCTGCAGTATCTGCCACCAAGAAAAACATTTTCAACTTTATTCCCTTCTTGCAAAGGTCAAAGGATCAAGGCTCCATCACAATCTCATGTATAGAATAGGAATGTGAGAAGTTGTTTGGCAAGGTACTTCCACTGAGACAATGCGTGTTAAGAATTACACATTTATAGATCCATCACTAACAAAATTGGCAACCAATTTGTTTTGAAAGAATTATAATCCTTTTGTTTTTTATCATTTTGATCTCATTGAGCAAAGGCTTGCCTTCGGGGAAATCTTTAGGTAAATCAATGCAATATGAACGATACTTCAGTCCAAGTAGGAGACTGGCCTATATAGATGCAAACAAAAAATCCTTAACAATTCTGTGCTGTTATTTTATTAAAACATACCCCTTTCTTATTTCTAATAAGTAAGAATACAAACCAGCCATGCAAGGCTGCAGTCTGGTACATTAATCTGGAAGCAAAGCTGTACTGAGCACAATGGAATTTACAAGTAAAAAGGCATAAACATTTACAAGTAAACACATATTTACTGGAAGGAAGTCCAGTTGAACTCAATGTGAATTACATTTGAACAGGGCTCTTTTTGTTGAAAAAGCCCAGCAGGAACTCATTAGCATAATAGGCCACACCCAACAGTAAAACTCATTAGCATATTAGGCCACACCCTGACCACACCACTCATTAGCACATTAGGCCACACCCCCATGTTACCAGAAGTGTGGTCATCCAGCCACACCCACCTTTCCCTTCTTATTCTGTTTACCTTGTTTGTGGTCAAAACCCAGGGCTTTTTTTTGTAGCAGGGACTCCTTTGCATGTTAGGCCACACACCCCTAATGTAGCCAATCCTAATGAGTTCCTGCTGTTGGGTGTGGCCTATTATAATGAGTTCCTGCTGGGCGTGGCCAACTCAGGAGCCGTTTCTGTGCGTTCCTGCCCAAAAATAGCCCTGCATTTGAATAGTCATGCATTGGACCTGTCTGCACATCACTACAGATCTGTTCTAGACTATACTTTTTCAAACCAAGAAATTGGAACTATGAACCTCCATGGAACTTTATCTTGGGTAATGATATAATTAGAAATCTTTTTAAAGAACACATTATGAAACCAAACTTAAAAAGACATACCTGGAGTAAATAGGTACTTGTGATTAAAAACATAGGCTAATGAATGGTTTAAACGAATGCAAGCTGTAATAAAACACAACTACCTCTAAGTCAACTGGAAATAAAGGTAAGCTCAGACTGTACATGTTTATGTAGTGGAAAAACTATAATACCAGCTCTCTCTTTTACTGTCTTAAGTACAGATGCAATCCTATGCAAATTTACCTGGGAGTAAATCCTATTGAATGAAGTGGATTTTATTCTTGAGTAACCACTCCTAAGATTGCACTGAACGTCTCTTAACATTAGGGTACACAGGAGAGCTTCAGTTCTGCTGCCTGGCCTGTGAAATAACTTTGATGAAAAGTTTACATTTACACATACTATCCTAAATAAAATTCAGTCTCCAATAATTGCTACCAGTATATCCTTAGACCGCTATAAAACCCTTGCTTGTTACTGAGGCAGAGCTAACAAATTCTCTTCGAACCACCACCAGACAGAATGAAAAATCACTACATCTAATAGCCAAAGTCTGTTCCTTAAGTACATAGCTAAACTTGTAGGGCAGGGACAGCCAAGGCTACCATGTAGGGCTCTACCAACTTGATGCTATCCCCAAGGTTCACAGAAAAATCTAAAATGGTCTTCAGTAAAGCACTATAGAACTTAATTCTAATTCCTAACCCTCTTATTATCAATGGATTTGAGAATTTCACTCAGATTCCTAACTTTAACTATCACAACCGTATTCAAAAAGTCTGGGGTACTGCAAAATTATAAGAATTTGTATGATTAAGAGATGGATTATTTAAAAAGCATACTTTTCTAACAGCTGGAAATCTTTTTATGAATTGTGGGGGGGCATGACATGACTTATCCTATTATGTCTTAATTTTATATTAAATAGGACGATGGAGTTGAATAAATAGTTAAGACAGTGATTAGTTGGGAAACTGTTATACCAATAGACTTTAAACATGCAGTTGTAATGCTTCAATTATTGTTTATTTTTAATCTTTCTTGAGGGTGAGTTGTCTTGTAATGAAGATAACATGATCAATATTGTATTCTAAATTGCACATTTTTGTTTTGAAAATATTTTTAAAGGAATTTCACTGTGATGTCAAAAATAAAAAAAATACTGTGTCCAAAGATCAGCCAGCACCATGAACAGCTGTAGCAACCACAATGCCACCAGAAGGCGCAGGGCCTCAGAGGCAGAGACAACCAGGACAAAGAGCAATTGAGGGGGGACTAGGGGGCAAAATCAGATTCCTCATTCCAATGAGCTATTGCAGGCAGTAGTCCCCAAGGCTGTCAGCAAATAAGAAAGTCTAGATCAGAGATATCCAATTTCTGTATTCTATTGGGACTTACTCTGTAGTCCCATCTGTGGACAGTATGACATGAAGGTCAGAATTCTGTTATCTTTGTCTTCAACAGAAACTATATGATCAGTGTTGTTGTTTTTTTGTTTTTTTTAAAGACAGATTCTTAAGACTAACAAATTATGACAAGAGCTGCATTTATATTAATTTCTGTTCCAAGCAAAAAATTACCTAAAAGGACTTACCATAAAATTAAAAAATTAAAAACAATAGGAGGCCTGGGACTATTTCATTAGGTACGTGAACATAATGTTCAGGAAACTTACTTTGCCACGTTTTGAAAAACCCTAAATCCCTTTTTGCAAACTCTTGTTACTGCTCAATGAATAAACTGGACCCCACAAATGAGGGTTCAAACCTCAACTCAGTTGTCATATTTATTTATTTAATTTATACTCCGCCCTCCCCACCAAGGCAGGCTCAGGGCAGCTTACAACAGCTCATAAAACACAGTTAAATAAAATTAAAAACCAATCATTGATATAAATTACTTAAAATAACAATCATTTAAAACATAAACACATAAAATGCTGGCACATACTCAAGCAACAGGAGCGTCAGTTCTTATAACATAATTTAGGTGACTGTTGGATGTCAATATTTTCACACCAGCCCAGTTCTCATTTATTATGCAGCGAGCACAGGCTGGGAACCACGATGGTGGGACACACGTTACAGACTGGAAAGCCTGGGAAGCTAGGGCACAAGGACACTCCTCAATGTGTAGTACAGCTCCTTAATCAAACACATGGTGGAAGAGCTCCATCTTGCAGGCCCTGCGGAACTGTGGAAGATCCCACAGGGCCCTGATCTCTTCCGGAAGCTCATTCCACCAGGACAGAATTGCTACAAAGAAGGCCCTGGTTGCTGCCAGTCGGACGTCCCTAGGGCCTGGGAGGGCCAGCCGATGTTGTGCCCCAGAATGCAGTGCTCTCTGGGGAACATGTGGGGAAAGGCAGCCCCTCAGGTATGCCGGATCCTGACCATATAGGACTTTAAAGGTTAAAATCATATGGCCTTCAGTAGGCATTCTCTCTCAGCCTTAGTTCTCTGGGTTGTTGTGACCTACCTCATGAGTTAGATAAAGAATAAGCTAATGTATGAATTACAGTGAACATGAATATAGTTAATAGAATAAGGAAATAATGCCAGGGCACAAGAAGGGCATTTCACCTGTTCAAGATTGGACAATGGCTACTCACTCTATCATAGCCACTGTACCTGAAGATAATTATTCCAGTCAAGCTGTAGTTGCGCACAACAGTTAGGGGCCTTGGATGAGCATGTGCATGCCCTTCTGTATAAGACACACACAGCCAGCTTAACAGGATCTGGTTAAGCACGGTAATTGAGTTGCCATACCAATCCCTTCCAGGATTGAAGTGCCTCTTTCAGGAGCACAAACTACCTCATAACTTCAGCATCCCAGCAGAAGACTGTTAAACAACTAGGGACTCCTAACACTTGTAGCCCCGAGGTGCTACCTTACACTTGGGGTAGCCCCAACAGTGGGGCACCCCACTTCTGACCTGGACCCACAAACCCAGGCTAAAGAGGACACTCTTGACCTGTGTCAAAGAGCTAGCCAAAGCTCAGCAAAGGGTTTCTGTCAAAGGTTGCACAAGGTGTCCTCAAGGGCAATCTCCACTCTCGCCCTCCACCCAGCAAAGGTATGCATAGTAGGTATCTGCATTTCTAAAGCCATTCAGTGGACATCTTGCGAACCTTCTGTGTCTCCATACCCTCATGTATCCCCCCTTACTGTAATACCTATACCTGTGTAGAAGCCTTTTGTCTCAACAAGTGGCCTTCCCGTCCCCTCCCACAGGTACCAAAACCAAAAATGATTAAATCATTAACAAATTCTTCCTGACAACTATCAGATACCCATTTCCCCCTTTTGTCTAAGCCTGGGAACCCATTCAACCTACCTTGGCAGGACCATCAGTGGTCATCAAACTTATTCAATCTGCCCAGGTAGGACCATCAACAGCCATTACACCCATCAAGTTCTAGCCTGGGAGACCGCCCCCCCCCCATTTCCTATAAAGAGAGCAAGCCCCACTGCAGTGTGCACTGTGAGAGCATCCATTATTGAGTACACCCCCAAAGTCTCTTCTTTGGGCCTCCTTGTACTTAGTGTGGAATGCTGGCCATTTGCACTATCCTCTTCACAGCTGTCTACACATCTGGACAGGTAGTATAACCCCTATAACTAATCCTAAGCATCTCTATCATCACCTTTTAATTCTTAGTTCTGGATTGTGTGTACATTTTGATTGCTTAGAGTGATTGTATGTAGGGAGATTTTCTAATAAATCTATTGAAAACTCTATAAATCTGGAGTCTTCCTACTGAACTGGACCTTGGTATACAAAGACATGTGATCCCTTGTACCCCTCTGACCTCCTCGGTCTCATAGCTAATTTCCCCCAACATCGAGACAGGTCATTTGTGGTAACACACTGCATGACTGGAGTGGAAGAACCCATCCAAACATCAAGCTCCAAAAAGAAAATAACTTCAGGACAATGCAATTCAACTGACGGCCATTATAGTACTCATGGAGAAATATTTTATTAAGAAGTTATGACCACCACCACAAATTTGTATTGGTTAAAGCAGCTAACCAGTTATACTCTAGAATTTGCCCTCTAGCCAAGTCTAACTTAGACACTGTAGATGGATAAGCTTGATTATTTGAACAAAAATGGGAACATTAAAACATCCATCACCATCACCAATAATATTGTGATTTTAGTGTTCCAGATAGTCAGCATGTTCAGTCATTCAGTGCTTAAACAGCAGTCGTTTGCATGGAAATGAAGCCATTTGGGAAAAGCTGATAACCTAATTGGTCAGTCTTTTAATGTTGAGGTATCAGTGCATCCAAGGTTGTTCATGCTTGCTGTTTCTTAATGAGTGACTTCAGTATCCCTTTCTTCCTCTGAATCTTGCTCTGTTATCCAACTTTAAGAATAAATAAATAATCAAGTTAGAATGACTGCATTCCTGTACAACAACTTCCAGTTTTTAAGTACAGGGGCCTTATAAAAAAATAACTTTATCTGTATTATGACAAATAGGGTAGTATCTAGATTAGATTTCTTGAAAGAATTCCAAAGAGGCTTTTACCTCCTTTCCCAAGCTCAAGACAGTTTACAAAACAGTAATAAAACATTAAAGTGTCATCAACATAAATAACATAACAGACCCATCACCCAGTAGCAATGATCTGGAGCACCCGGGTACAACTTGCTTTCAGTGGATCTGGCCAGTTAAAACCCTCATGTCTCCTCCCCTGCTTTATTTGCCAGCATGCAGGCATGTCCACAGGTAGATGCTGCATTACAAGGACCCAGGAAGAAGATCAGCAGACTCACAGGACGTACATGTTGCTGAATGATTACTTCAGGTGGCAAGTGAGAAATCAAATGTTTAAGCGCTCTTCATAAAGGGTTCTTAGCTCAGAACATCGGGAATTTTTTCCTGTAGGATAGCATATTGTCAAAGGACCGGTCAACTGATTCCCCTATTATGTTGGTATGGAAGCCGCCCTGAGCCTGCTTTGCAGGGAGGGCGGGGTATAAATCTGATAAATAAATAAATATGTGACCAGTCAAATATTCCACTAAACAAAAAATGCCACAGTGCAAGTTTAATCTTTGTTATTTCCTCATGATAGCAGTTGTTAGAACAGAGTGGAGTGAGGGCTGTTTGCCATGGAGCTTTGCAGAAGGCAAGAGCAGACCCAGCAGCATCGCAAAGCTTCTCCTACTGGCCACCTGCTGTAACTGTAAGCATCTCCAAACCATTCTTTTTGCTTTTCAGCAGGTGCCCCTACGTTGCTTTATTTCGGTTTCAATTTTTTTCTTTCTTTTTTTGAATTTGTAACTGTGAGCTGCTTTTGATATTCCAGGATAAAAACCCAGAGAAACTTTATCCCACATTGTTAACAGTTGTAATAATTCATTAGGTTAATGTCACAGTTTTACAATAACAGAACTTACTTTTGTTATTAAAATAAATATTAAGCTTGTTGGTGATTATACTCTCTTTGGCTGTTTTTAGTAATATTAATGCTTTAAAAATATTGGATTAGGTAATCGACAAAATATTTTTGACTGGTTAAATGTCAGGAGGAACTGTCAAATATTTGGTTCCTCCATCTGCAACATTAAGCGGTACACAGCACAGCCCTAAGCAGTGTTACACCTTTCTAAACCCACTAAAGTCAATGGGCTTGGAACATATGAAGAGCCCCGCTGGATCAGACCAGTGGTTCAACTAGTCCAGTATTCGGTCTCACACACTGGCCAACCAGTTCCTCTGGAGGACCAACAACTGCGCACAGAGGCTGAGACTTTCCCCTAATGCTGCCTCCAGACTCTGGGATTCAGAGGTTTAGTGCCTCTGAATGTGGAGGTTCCCCTCAGCCACCATGGCTAGTAGCCACTGATAGATCTAGCCTCCATGAATCTATCCAATCCCCTTTTAAAGCTGTGTATTCTTGTGGCCATCACTCTAGCAGTGAATTTCACATTTTAATCACTCGCTGGGTAAAGAAGTATTTCCTTAGATCTGTCCTAAATCTACCGCTCATCAGTTTCACTGGATGCTCTCAAGTTCTTGTATTTTGGTAGAGGCAGAAAAAATTCTCTTGGTCAACTCTCTCCATCCCAAGCATAATTTTATTGACCTCTATCATGTCCCCCCCCCTTAGTCATCTCTTTTCTAAACTGAAGAATCCCAGACTCTTCAGCCTTTCCTCATAAGGAAGGTGCCCCAAAACCCTAATCATATTGGTTGCCCTCCTCTGTACTTTTTCCACATCCGTGATGTCTTTTTTGAGATATGGTGACCAGAACTCTACGCAGTACTCCAAATGAGGCCGAACCATCAATCTATACAGGGGCAGTATAATATTGACTATTTTCAATCCCTTTCCTAACACAGAGTTAGCATTTTTCCACTGCTGCAGCACACTGGGTTGACACTTCCATTACGCTATCCACTATGACCCCAAGATCTTTTTCTCTCTCTGTCTCAGCAAGTTCAGGCCCCATTTCGCCTATACTTGAAGTTGGGATTTTGTTATCCCAATGTGCATCATTTTACACTTAGAAGCATGTAACTCTGTTTAGGATGGCCCTCTCAGTCTAGCAACAGCATGTAGCTCCACTGACAATGCATTTCAGGGCCCATAATTAATTAGTTTATTTCTCTCCAGCAGCTACTGAATTACAACCAGTTACATCAGTGCAGATGATGCAAAGGTCATATAGAGAAAGAAATGGGTTCATGATGCACTGTGGATTGGTAAATATATTACATGTAAAGACGTAAATATAATCTAGATATCTTATATTGTTTTTATCCATTCTTTTGCCTGTATCCTATTTTTAAAAATAACACCTTCCTTGTCCCAGGTATCACAATGAACAAAGTTTATGGTAGCTCCTAAAGTACTATATTTTTAAAAACCTACCACAAGTAACCCACAATTAGTACAGACAGAATATCAGCTTGACATAAAACAATTATAATAGCATGTAACATTAGCATGTAATTATAAAAGCATGTAACACTAAGCCACACTGGCACCAAGCAGCCAGACCATTAGAAAGGATTCAAAGAAACATAGAGCTGGAAGGAACCCCAAGGCTCATCTAGCCCAACCCCCTGCACAATGGTGGAAAATTCAGTTACCCACCCCTACTGATCCCTGCTCCATGACCAGAAGATTTTTAAAAACCTCCAGAATCCCTGGGCCAATCTAGCCTGGAGGAAAATTCCTTCCTTACCCCAAAGTGGTGATCAACATTACCATGGGCATATAAGAAAGGGCCACAAAAGCCAAGCACTGGCTTATCTCTTCTTGCCCTCCCACTCTAAATCTGCCTAAATTCATACTGAGTCATTGAATCAGCATTGTTGTCAGAAGGCCATCTAGCCTCTGCTGTAAAATCTTCAAAGAACAAGAGCACACCAACTCCCGAGGAAGCCTGTTCCACTGAGGAATCACGCTGTCAGGAAGTTCTTCCTAATGTTTAGCCAATTTTTAAAAGAAATTTCAACCTGTTGGTTCTGATCCAACCTTCTGGGGCAACAAAAAAACTCTGCTGCATTCTCTATATGACAGCCCCTCATTTATTTGAAGATGGCTATCATACCACCTCAAGGCTAAACATACTCAGCTCTTCAACCTTTCCTCATAGGACTTGGTCTCCAGACCCCACACCATCTTTGTCGCCCTCCTCTGTCCATGTCCCATCTTGTCAACATCCTTCTTAAACTGTGGTACCCAAAACTGAACATCGTATTCCAAGTGAGGTCTAACCAGAAGACAGTGATACTATCACTTTGTGTTATCTGGACACTATACTTCTGCTGACACAGCTCAAAATCACATTTGCTTTTGTAGCTACTACATCACACTGCTGACTCATGCTCAATGTACAATCTACTAAGATCCTTAGATCCCTTTTGCATGTACTACTGCCAATACAAGTCTCCCTATCTTATAATTATGCATTCAATTTGTCTATTATTTCAATACTACTGTGTAACTGTTAAGCTCTGTGCACCTGTAGAATAAAACTGTTGCCAGGGCAGAATCTCAAGGAAGGCTCTTCAAAAGGACTCAGTACATCTTGATAACCAGCATTCTGTTTCCCTGTCATACTCTAATGAGATCAAAACAATTCCCCAGAAATGGAGCTGGCGCTGAATGGTTCCCATACAATATATCAGCTGAGATGGGAAGAATCCCCTTCATTGTTTAAAAGGGATCACCAATGTCTGGGACAGGAATGCTTGATATCCTCCCACAAGAATGGTTTACAATCTGGACCACCACTGGACATTAATGGAACAAAATGGCTGCCCCCAAGGTTTGCTCCCAGATCTTAGAATCTATTCCCAGCTCAAAGAGCCTGGATGGCCTCATTTCCATTGACAAGGGTGGCACAAATAACCCCCCAATCTCAAGGGTCCCTACAACATACAGGTCCTTCCGTTACCACTCCCACCCATCATGACAACACATACCTTCCTACAACATCTTCTTAATAATATATTCATTTTTAACAATTAAAACCATTCTATTCCAAAAATTCAGAAAAGCAATTACACTGTACAAATACCACAATGCTTCGTCTGAACATACTCAACTGAATATTATGGATTCAAAAGGCAAAAAAGTTTAAGATCTTTCATTAATATTACATGCTCCTTTGATTCATTTTACATTATGAATAAACTTTCTTCATCTGAGTTGTATACATTTTGAGATTATGCCTATTTGTCACAGAAAGCTTTCTCCACCTTTTATGTAACTTTTGGTGCCCTGGAGGCAACAGGTTGGATTCAAAGCTACTTTTCCATGAACTGAAGGAGTCTTTCCATGGCTGAAAGTTGCCTGCCTATGAATGGAAAGACATCTTTAGATCCAAACCTGCAGTTTGCATTCATTAGTATTATTTATACATACAACAAATATTTCTAAGATTTAACAAAACCAAAATACCATCTGTCCCATAATATTTCATTGGTTTGTTGTTGTTGTTGTTGTTAAAGGGAATAATTTACAGTAGAATCTTGCTACTCACCATTGACCTTTTGCATTCAAAAAATGAAACCAGTAAACCACTGCAGTTTCCTTCCTTCAAACACTGCTTGATGCTTTTCTTTTCCTGTCATAAAAATACAGTAAAGTAAGCAGCCAACATATTTATTCAGCAGGCAAGGAAATTATTTCACAAGCATGCTCTTTTCAGAAAGGCTGTATTTGATACCATAGTCTCTGAAAGAAAAACAGTTTATAAATGCTACAGAGTAAGCACCAGGCAAACAGACAAGACAGAAAAGTATTTACTTCCAGTTGTAAAAAATAATTTCTAATGTCAACTCTTAATCACATCCCCTAGTGAAATAATATCTTATTATATGCATGCCAGAAAAGCATTTTAAGGTTGACCGTTTTGTTACTCTAGTGTACGGTGAGAGCCTTCTTATTGCGATGTTGCAAAATGAAGACTTCATCCCGTGCTCTGCAATTAGCCCTCTTATAGCTTGCTCCCCATGTTCACTTACTCAGAATGAAGCTGCAATTGAACACACACTTGTTCGGGGGCAAGCCCTACTAGAGTCCATAGGAATTATATTTTAGCTCGCAATCAGGATATGGGCCTATAATCCTAAATGCAACTACCAATTATTAATTCCCAGGTAGTTTAACGTGAAAATTCTGAGTACACGACCATACCCAAAAACGTTCCACTGAGTTCAATGGGATTCACTCCCAAGTATCCTAACATCACAGGCACAGGAAACCTGCCACGGTCAAGATTTAGCACCCCCTCCCATAGGCGTGTTGTCTAAATGACCTCTTAAATGTCATCTTCTCCGCCCGCTTCCCCCACCTGGACGACGCAGAAACTCTCGAGCAGGCAAAACCTCAGGTCTTCCCGAATGCCAGCGCAAGGGCGCTCGTCCTTCTCTTTATCTTCGTAATACTTGGGCATCGCGGCCGCTGACTTTCAACTTCCCTTCCTTCTGTATCGCTCAGCTACCCACTACCGCTCTATGCAGCGTCGAGGATAGGCGATCCCCCCCACCTTCCCACAGCCAAGCCAGCTGCCATGTTCCAACAACCCCGGGACTAAACACCGTACACCGACGTCATCATCACGCGCAGAGGGGCTTACCCACCATGCACCGCTCTGGCACAGTCCTGTCAATGCACCTGCGCAATGCTGCGCTTTTACCGGAAGTTGGGGGAAAGGGGAAACGCTGCTCAGCTGTTGTGAGCTGGCAACGGCGATCGGAGCGGCGCCGAGGAAAGGTCCCTCCTGTAGACGCGCCCCTTCCTCCTCTGAGCGAGGGAAGACCGGAGCCGAAGGGGCGGGGGACAGGGCGCCTCAGCGGTGCGTGGGTGGAAGTGGGCGGAACGTCCCGCGAGTTCTGTGCTCGGCGGTTCTAGAATGGTGAGAATCCTCTCGCAGCTCCGCCCCGAAACACCTCCTTACCCGGCCCGTGAATTGCACTTCTTCTCCCCCACGCCACCTGCGGGGTCACTACTGCTCTGCTTCCTCCGTGAGCAGGCGGTTTGTTGTTCGGGGGGGGGGGGGGGGGGGGTGTCGGCTTGTGAGGCTTTATGATTTATTGAGAAAATCTGTATGGGGGCTCTCCAGTAAAACTGTAAACTGTAAAGCCATAAAATGGGGTCGCGAAGAGTCGGACTCGACTGTGCGGCTGAGCAACAACGAAGCCGTAAAACCGCCAGCGTGAAAACAAGCTGTAACAACCGTGGGTTGCAATCCCATGTGCCGTGCTTTAGGAGTAAGCCTCCTTGAATCCGGTGGGGCTGACCTGTGCAAGAACGGGCTTAAGTTCAGCCCCCTCCTGTTGGCAATCAGCTTGGCTTTGCCAAAAAATTAAAAAAGGCCCTTGCTGGATATTTGCTCATGGTATGGATGAGTGGGCATTTTCGCAAGGCAGGGTTTGTTAGGCCTCTCTTCACCTGTGCATTTTGAACGCTGTAGGTAAAACAGTTCTGCAAGATAAGAATCCATTTCTGCTTCTCACTCCTCAGATTGCCTTTATTAATATGTTGTTTGCCTTTCACCATTTCCCTTTCACTGCAGCTTGCTAGTGTGATTCTACAACAGTCTATGTGGTTGGGCTTAGGCCTACCTTAGTGGCATTCTGTCCCTAGTGGTCTTGGAAAAGGAGCAGAGGATCACGAAATCCAGTGTTGAGTAGTGGTTAGACTGTTGGCCTAGAATCTGAGAGATCCTAATGGAAGCTTGCTGGCTAACCTTGTGCTGGTCCCACACACTCAGCCTAACCTGCCTCCACTGGACTCAAACTTTGTTTTACAGAGTTGTTGTGAGGATAACATGGCAGAGAGGAGAATGGGTCTGCACTGGGGAGAAAGGCAGGGTAGAAATGAAGTTAAATAAATGTACGAGGGGACATTCTTTGCCTCTTAATTCTTCAGCATTTCATATTTTTATTCTTGGTTGCCTTTATGTGGTGGTGAATGTTGGCACTTTAGGACTGCACCAAGTCCTTACTTGTTCTATCAAAGGCAGTAAATTTGTATCTCTAAAATCTTGTGTGGCTATGTTACCGCAGGTGCATAATTTATGAACAGCAGAGGATGGTGTTGCCATTCCTCATCACTTCCACTTTAAAGGCAGAGGTCTGCCTAGTTAAGAAGCCAAAGTATATAAAAGAAAAGCAAACCTATGTTATATTAGTCAAACAAGCATCTGATATTGGCAGAAACTAGTGGGCACTTGTCATTTGGCAGCTGTTGCTAGTGGCATTTGAAATAGACTTGGCTACAGTAGAGCAAAGTTGACAGGTTGCAGTCCTAGGCACTCTTACACTCCTGTCTTTAAACATAATTGTTGAGATATCTAGATTACAGTACCTTTTTATCCCAGGTATTCTTATATTTACAGCCTTAGCTGAAAGTTTTACTGCAACCCTAGAGGTCTTCATCCATGCCCTTTCTACTCACATGCGTCATCCCCTCCCTGCCATCCCACTGACTGCAGCCCTCCCTTGCTCTCTGTTGGCCTTTTGTAGCTAGAAGAGGGTGGTTTTAAGTCCAGTGTGCAGTCCATTCAGTACTATGTCAAGTTCTCATTTCTGTTGGCCTCCATCCCACTCCTGATTATGAAAGATTAAGAACTCTCTGAGATGAGGCCGATAGCTATGGTGGGGCTACTTGGGGCTCTACCCCCTTCCTTAAAGGGCCAGCCCCACAAGACTTCCAGTGTTTGGCAGGGAGGGAAGAGAACTGAAGAAGGCTCTGCTCGGGCAAAAGCATCTTTGTACCTTCTTTCTTTCTCTCTCCGCTTTTCTTCTGCCGGAGCTACACAGGAGGCAGCAGGAAGAAAAGCAGTCTTGTGCCCCCGTCCCCTCCAAAGAAAAAACCAATGAGGGCAGTGGCTTGGGAAGGCTTGCTGGAGCGGGAGGTAAAGAGAGACACTTCCAATTCCCGGGGAGAGAAACTGAAGTGGGATTGGCAAATAATGGCAGCCCCACCAGGAAAAAAATTTGCCCCACAAGCCACAAAATCCTGGCTCTAGGCCTTTCTGAGACTAGAGAAGTGATGAGCACAGGAATGGTTCTGTGCATGGTTCAGTTTTGTCTTCTCTAGGAGTGCAGGTGCTGCATGCCACTTGGATGTTCAGTTGGGTCACGAACTTTGTAGTGGCATCCCAAGCATATATGGTTAATGGCAGTTTTCAGTCATGAAGTCTTGGCTCAGAAGGTTAAGATAATTAGACCATACAATTACATTATATTGTTTTCAGGAGGGTTTTTAAAAAGAGGTGGCATCACATGGCAAAGTTCTATGATTTTATGCATTGTTATTTGGTCACAAGCTCAACTAAATGAAATTACTTTAAAGTAAGCATGTTTAAGGCTGGGTTCTTCAAAGGGACCTCAGGTCTTCTCAGTTAGCTTCGTTGCACAGGTAATTAAACTGACACACATCTTGCTCCTTGCCAATTATAAACTTAATGGTTTAGTTCTGTACAGAATTACTTTGATCTAAGCACAGTGAAATCAGTGGGCTTAGACTGAAGATTGAACTGTACGTGTGATAGTTGCTCCTGTGCAGCTGGGGTTTTTTTTTAAGTCTCAACTTTAAAATTATATTTCTGTTCTCTTTTCATTTAGCAAAATGTTGCCTACCACATCAGTTAATTCCCGAAGTCAAGGCAATGGAGCTTTAAACTCCAGGGATGCGGCTAGGCACTCAGCGGGGGCAAAACGCTACAAATACTTGAGAAGACTCTTCCACTTTCAACAGATGGATTTTGAGTTTGCTGTGTGGCAGATGCTGTATCTCTTCACTTCGCCACAGAGGGTTTATAGGAACTTTCATTACAGGAAACAAACAAAAGACCAGTGGGCAAGAGATGACCCTGCTTTTCTTGTATTGCTAAGTATCTGGCTGTGTGGTAGGTATCTGGGAACTTAGTTCCATAAACTTTAACACTGTTGAACATCTGTATTAAGCCACTAAATGAAATCCTCTAGAGCTTTGGGAAGGGGTGCTATCAGTGTGTTGATGACACTTAGGTATACATCTCTTTAACAAAGCATCCGGATGTGGCTTTGTACAAAATCAGTGCCTGGATCCTTAGGGTGGATAAGGGTAAATAACCTAAAGGTGAATGCAGACAAAGCAAAGCTTGATAGCGGTAGGGAAATCTGATTCTCTGGAAGGGACTGTCTTACTTGTCTTGGGTGATGACTGTTGTGTTCCCATCTGAGCATATGAAGTATTTTGGAGTGTTCCTGGAGCTGCCCTTGCTTTTACAGAAGCAAGTTGGTCCTGGCTGCAAGAAATACTTCCTTCTGTTTACATCTAACTACTCAGTTACCTGAGCCCTGGTAATCTAATGCTTCTTTAGCTTCCAGTTTGGCTTACTATCACACACTCTGTGCTTGGGTATGTTTTGCCAAAGGCAAGAGTGTTCTAAGGGGGTTGAATGGTCAAAGAAGCTCACAGAAACAAGTGATTTGCAGTATGAGTGGGCTTTTTTAAAAAACAGAACAGTCTCTTATATCCTTTTTGGTTTCCGGGGGCTTCCTACAGTAGCAGCTGTGTCTCTGGTGGAGACTGCTTGCTACCCCTTCCTTTTTTAAACTGTTAGGTGCAGGCCCCCCCCCCCAAGCCTAGCAACACCTGATCTGCTGAGTCATGCCAGCTTGGGGCTAATGCCTGCACCTGGCGTTCCCTTAACCCATTATTGGGAGGGCTGAATGACTAGGAGGAATAATCCTGTGGCTACTTGCAGCTCTGGAACCAGTTGTCAGTATGCTGAAGCCAGAATAAGGTCACCTGACCCCACCATTCCATAATCCTCCTCAGGCCTTCTTCCACATTGGCCCCACAGGGTGTCCTTGAAAACAACTTGGATGTTTCTGATGGTAAATCGTATAGCCACACACCTCTTGGTTGGGTTTCTTTTCTTCAGCACTATGCAACCATGACTTCCCTGGCTCACCTTTTTGAAATGAGAGTAAAGGTTCTTAACATGTTTTACACTTGCTCACGTCTTACACAAAAACTCATTACGGGCCACAAATACCCTGTTTCCCTGAAAATAAGACCTACCCAAAAAATAAGCCCTAGCAGGATTTCTATGCATTTGTGGTATAAGCCCTAGTGTGTCTTCTTGAGAAAAAATAAATATAAGACAGTGTCTTATTTTCGGGGAAACACGGTAGCCCATTTCTTGCTATGTGTATATATGTAGTGAATATGATCCACTTAAGTCAAGTCTCACATGACCAAAGTTTTACAGATTTAATGGGTTCTAGTAACAAAGTGAATCTTCAAAAACATGTGCAGATTTGTCATGGTGCTCCATGAACCAATACATTATTAAAGGATTGCAAGGTACCAGTAGTGTGACTTCCTAGAAACTACACGCTATTGTACATTCAGGATCAATGGTGTGAGAGCAGAGCATTGACTGGAGTGTCTCTTAAGTACTGAACAAGGCAAAATAGTTTTTAGATGGTGAAAGCATATTATCAAGAACATGTCTTCCACTAATCTCTTAAAAAATTGAACAGCATTTGATGGTAGGGCACTATGTGTGCCAAGAACTAATCA